CCCCACATCATAGACTTGACCACCTGTAGACCCCACATCATAGACATGACCACCTGTAGACCCCACATCATAGACCTTAGTTAAATCCAGGTGACAACTTATTATTTTGACCAGGCAGTGTATTTTCCTTTAACAAAAGTGATTTTGCTGAAGTGTTATTTAAATTCTGGATGTATTTGTTCATAAATTGATATCTGTTATCTGTTAACATCTTTCAGTTTATTAGCCAAATTAAACAAACAAAAAGGCCTTGTCTCTAGAAGGAAGAAAACAAACAAATATATTACTATAAAACTATGAAACATTATAAAACCTATTATGTTAATGCACTGCCACAAATATATAAGTATGTCTCTTTTCAGCTTTTCGACCACATTGTGCATTGCATCTCTGATTTTCTGGACTACATGGGGATGAAAAGTGCTCGACTTCCACTGGGATTTACCTTCTCCTTCCCCTGTCATCAAACCAGCCTGGATGCGGTACGTYCTTCATCATTTACTTCCTAAGCAAAGCAATGCATGATGTTTTTACACCTTTTTAAACTGGTTCAGATGTGGTAAACATTTCAAATTTTAGGCCAGTTTCAAAGTTGCCTTTTCTCTCAAAAGCTTTAGAGAAGGTGGTTTAYCTTCAGCTACAGGACCATTTAGAGCTGAATKGAATTTATGAGAAGTTTCAGTCTGGTTTTAGGTCACGTCACAGCACTGAAACAGCTCTTCTCAGGGTGTGTAATGACTTGCTTTTAACTGTAGATTCTGGTGCTTCTGCTGTTTTAATTCTTCTAGATCTCACTGCWGCCTTTGACACAGTGGATCATGAAGTTTTAATATCTCGTTTGGAGCAGTTGGGGTGAAAGGCTCRGCTCTTAAATGGTTTGAGTCCTACTTGTCTAATAGGAGTTTTTCTGTTCTTATTGGAGATTTTTATTCCTGGGGCTYCTCTTAAATGTGGGGTACCTCAAGGCTCCAYACTGGGCCCAATTTTATTTTCTATTTATTTGCTCCCACTAGGGTCCATMTTTAAGAAATACGATGTGTCATATCATTTTTACGCAGATGACATTCAGATTTATTTACCTTTAAGATCTGGTGGACCTCAGCATGTGGAGAATCTGCAGAATTGCTTAAAGGACGTTAAACRTTGGATGGAGCTAAACTTTCTTTGTCTAAATKAAAATAAAACAGAGGTCATTGGGTTTGGCAAAACTGACCTGCTGGTAGGATTTAACACAGAGCTGTTGGCTATTTGGATTTTGATTGTCGTTTTATTAAAAATCTTGGAGTTCTTTTAGACAATAATTTTAAATTTGATAAGCACGTCAAGCGCAGTGGTCCAGTCTAGTTTTTATCATTTAAGGCTCCTCAGTAAAGTCAAGCCTTATCTTCCACTTCATACCCTTGAGAGGGTTATTCATGCTTTTATTTTCTCCAGACTGGATTATTGTAATTCCCTCTACAGCGGGATTGACCAGTCTCTGCTCTACGTCTTCAGTTGGTTCAGAATTCTGCTGTTTGTTAACGGGGACCAAACGATCTGAGCACATTACCCCTGTATTGCATTCCCTTCTCTGGCTGCCTGTTTCTTTTAGGATTGTTTTTAAAGATTTACTTTTGGTTTTTTAATGTTTAAATGGTCTGGCAACTGGTTACCTTCCTGAGCTGCTACACAGTTATCATCCAGGTAGAGCTCTAAGATCAGAGGATCAGATGCTTTTGGTGGTTCCCAGGACCCGGCTGGTGAATAAAGTGGACAGAGCTTCTCAGCTGTGGCTCCTAAACTTTGGAACAGTCTCCCTCTTTCTGTTTGGTCGGCCAGAACACTGACCGAGTTTACATCTCTTTTAAAGACCCATCTTTTTGGTTTGGCTTTTTTTTAAAAATCTTTTTGGTTTGGCTTTTAACTCCAGAGAGCACATCTAGTGCCTAGTTTCACTCTCTATTTATTGTTTTCTCCCTTCTGTTTTGTTTTTGAAGTTCTGATTGTTTTTGCATGCTTTTTTATTACTGTTTTTTATTTTTTTTTTCTGTGCAGCACTTTGGTGGCCATGGTGTTTGTAAAGTGCTATAAAAATAAAGTTCTGATTGATTGATTAATTTAAATTGCCTAATCTGCCCTTTTTACTTTTATTAAACAGTTATCTGTTTTGGCTAAATACCKTTTTCAGGATTTTCTTCCTAGCGATTTGTAAATGTTTTCTACAGTTTGTTAGTCAGGAAGTTGTAGTGTGTTTTTAGGAGAGAAACAGAAAGGGTGATTAACTATTTCTGACCTACACCACACTTTTACCTGTTGGRGCACCAGGTCACTTTATTGACCAACATTTATTCACTCTTTTTATCAGACTCATATTTACTGAGGTGTGAGTCGTCATAAAATATGYAGRGAATTCTTATCTCAGGCCAAARTACTCAAAGATGAGGAACCAACTTAGWCTTTTGTGGTATTTTATTACAAAAATATAGCAAGAATCAACTTCATTAAATCATGACTAAAAATGTTAAAATAACAAGGTTAATAAAACGGTTAAAGATGAAAAGGATTGTAGATGTTATACGTATAGGTTAAGATAAGGCCTGAATGTTTAAAACTTTATAGAATGAAAATTGAATAAATTGAATGACAGTTGACAAGAGACCCAGGTTAAAACCTATAAGTTTTTGAAATTTAGAAAGGTGTTAAGAATCTGAGCCAGATTGTTTTTGTAACTTTTATTTTACTGCAGAAAGAAGATTATTAAGTCGCCTCAGCTGTTTAACCAGGTTGTTCTGTGAACACTTGCATAAAATGCCTGATTACCGTATTTATTCAAGTATAATGCGTAAAATTAAATTCATAAAATCATCCATAATGTTGGGGGGTAGTACTATACTCGGATAAATATTTTTACTTGTGTATTTTAACTGAAATTTCGGCTTCATTCGCAAAATTATTGAGTCCGGCCGGAAATGAGACCGCGTCGTAAAAAGCAGTTGAAGCGAGCTCACCTCTGTCACTCCTCCGTGCTTCAGAGTGAGATAATAACAGACCCAGGCAGGAGACATGATGTGAAAAAAGGGTAAAAAATCAGTCCTGCAGCTCAGTAATGAGAACAAACTAATGACATTAGTGTGTGACCGAGCCGCTCCTTGAACAACAACAAACACATGTTCATCTGTAATGGCTGCCGTCTACCGGTGTTCTGAAAAAGTTTGTATCTCTGGAAAAAGTTTCCCCA